ATACCAGACAAACTTGTTATTGTTAACACTCGTCGTTAATAGTCTCAATAACCTCTCCCACGCTTTGTTCGCCTTAATGCAGAGTTTGACACGGTTCATGTCTTGATAGACATTGATTAAAACGTCTTTTGTTTTAAATACAATATAATAGTTTCCCTGATGAAATATATTATTAGAAATGGGAATAATAAAGAGGAAAAGTTAGTCTAGCGTTTCAATGAGAGCGTGCAAAAAAGAAGGATTAACGCGTACGGTTGCTTTATTTTGTTCGTCTGTGAGCAAACCTGAAGTATTTAGAACTAGTTCAGTTTCATCGTCATTTCATCGGCTGGTTACGGCAATTATGTAGTGCACATCGTAAAGAAAGCCACTTAAGCAGTGAACTATAGATGTAAATAGTTAGTAGTTGAAGTTTTACGAAATATCTTTGGAAAGTCTTCATTTTGAGCTAGTCTTTTGCGTTCCATGGCGAAAAAAATACATATCTTCAAGAATTAGTGTGAAACTAGAAGGTTGGGCTCACAAGCAAAATTTCTTCGCGATGTACGTGCTCTTTGATTCGATTAACATACTCCTGTTGATAACACTTCAACCCGGCGCTAAACAACATAGAAAGATACAATTGCAAATTAGATGTAAATAAGGTGCTTCTTTTTTAAAAGCTCAAGGAGCTCAAAATTAACGCCGATTTAGAGTTCAATCGAAAGGTTTTAACTCAGAAGGGTTTTTTTTTTCGATTTCGCCTAAGAGTTTGTTATTATATGTTTATTACTGGAGTGCCCCAAATTGGCTTTTAAGCGATCTGACTTCGCTTTTGAGGCGAAAATTGACGGCGTCGCAAACGATCCCATGAATAACGAGCAGTTTTATTGGTCTCTTTAATTTACCACAGAGATGAAGCCATTTACCCATTAATGCCCCAAGAGCGACTATAATCTAATTTCTCCTTATACTGTGACAGCTGAATCAAATATCACAAGAATCAGTTAACCAAAGTATGTTAATTGTTAAACAAAGCCTCCTTATAAATGAAAGTGAAAGCGATCTTCGCAGTAATGAACACTACTTAAGCAATAGTGAAAGTAAGGCCTAAAAAAATTCAGTATACCATATAAGTACTTGGAGAATTTTACAGATAAAACTGTGGAGATTGTGTATGCTGATGTCACGGCACAAAGGGTGAAGCTTCATTTTGCCTAAGATGTCATCATATCGCCCAAACAACGACAGTGTATGAAGTAAAACTTCATAATTTACATGGAGAACTCGCATGGCTTCTCGGTCGATCTTAACTTTGGAAGCAATAGATGGTCACCCTGGCCATAGCCCAGCTCGAAATTCTCACAGAAAACCCTCCAGTAACCAAAATATTCTCTGACTGCTTACGCCTAACGGCGAGCTCAGTTTATCGATCTTTCTCACAAAAATAACTACTTGAAAATTAAATAAATAAATAAAACCTATTATAACCTTATTATCATCTTAACTGACGACAATCCAAAAGGGCTTTTATTTCCGATCCTGACAGTTACAATAATTTTGCGCTTTGGGAACTTTAAGCCCAATGCAAGTGATTAGGCTCCTCTGACGCACTTCACTTGGCAAATGACTCTATGAATCGATTATAGCATTACCTTGTCCGTGTCACTCACAATTGAAACGTTCATGAAAGTTGCAAGAAAACTGTGACAAATGAAATGCTGGGGTAAAGCATTTCATTAAGAAACCGTATTGCTACCATGAAATAACATTGCAATTAATTTATTGCTTGTCGATGCGAGTAGAAATTAATGCATGAAAATATGGTTACAAGCAACCGAGACGAGTCGTTCGACTCGAGTCGATTCGATAACATTTTCAACGACCCTTGGTAGTTACTTGCGGTGTCTTGCAAATCGACTTGTGGTATGACGGGTCGACTTAAACTGAGACGAGTC